GTTTGTTGTTCCTTGTAGGACAGAGTTAAACATTAGGATCCTTCCTACTGGATGTATTTCAATCATCTATTATTTTCATTACTTCTGTTATGAATTCCAATGTATTGAACCCAGGGGTGCTTAACCACTGAGCTATACACTCAACCCTTTTTTATATTTTGTTTAGAGACAGGGTCTCACCCTGTCTTAGGGCCTTGCTAAGTTGCTGAGCCTGGCTTTGAATTCACAATCCTCCTGCCTCAGCCTCCTGAGCTGCTGGGATTATAGGTGTGTGGCACCGTGCCCAGCTAGGATTATTCTTAATACACTGGTAAGTGACTTTGAGTGTGATCATTATGCACACCTCTGTGTGCATGTTTTTCTAGAGTAGATAAATATTTAAGTGTGAAATCACTAGCTTCTAGGATATGCACGTTAAAATTTTTAATAGCTTTTGATTAATTGGCCTTCCAAAAGACCGTATCTTTTGCCTTTGTTCAGAGTGTAAGGCAGTACACATTTTCTGAACACATTTTAACTTGTCTATCAGAATGGACTGGAATCTCATGGATTATTTTGGATTTTATACTGTATTGTATGTTACATTTATTCCTTCCTTGAGTTGAGGGTATATTCTTCATTATTTTTCCTAAAATAAAGTATTTTCCAATTATCAGAGCCATAATTTAGCATATACCTTCAGGACACTGGAAACTTGCTAAAGATATTCTGTAGAGGTTTGGGAAGTGATAATAATATTAATGTGAACCTTTCTTTATGCTATAGAAGATCTGCAGAGTAATATGATGATGATCATTATCATCACAGTTTAGATGTGGTTCATCTGAAATTTTATAGATCCCTGTGAGATACAGGATAAATTACAATACTTGCTGAGCCTCATTTCATAAAATGGAAGTAACAAGGCAACTTTTCTTTGGATTGTTCCAGGGATTCAAATTTTAAACGCCCTGAATAGAGTCTCAACAAATGTGAATTCCCTTTTCTACAAGACTTTTTTGCATATACAATTCAGGCTTCTGCACACCTTAAAACAAATGTTTCCTTGGGAGGCCTTTTCCAGTTAAAGAGGCAAGAAAATTGGTACTGAGTTTATGAGAGATGTAGGGAGGTATCAGCATAAATTGTGAGGGGTGGACCGGATGATTAAGAGGTCAACTTGGTAAAAAACTTTCAAAGTTTTCTCTGTCCTAATGACTACCAATGGTGTGTGAGTTAGAAAGATAGCTCATTTCATTTTGTTAGACTCCTAAGCAGACTTGTGGGGTGGGGGTGGGGGTGGCTTTTTATCACCTTCCCTTCTTGCTACCCAGAGTTATATTGTTTTTAATTTTGGGGGGTTTGCTTCTATTCAAATTATAGTATTTTTATTTTTAAAAAGTTGTCTTGGGGGAATGTGGATGTAGCTCAGTGGTAGAATGCCTAGCATGAGCATGGCCCTGGGTACGATCCCCAGCACCATACAAAAAAAGTATCCTTTGGCATGGGGTTGTAGCTCAATGGTAGAGCACATGCTTAACCTGGCCAAATCCCTGAGTTCACTCCCAGCACCAAATGCATAAATAAATAATATTCTAAAATTAAAGAGAAATTTAGTCATTTTATAGACTTGCGGGTAGAAATTAGGATAATCAAAAATATCTTTTAGCGTTTTTAATTCCTAGATAGTGAAAGTTAAAAGCAGTTATCAACAAAGTAAAGCAAAAGCTAATGATTTTTCTTTTTACCCTAATGATTTTCACTACTTTAGAACATTATGGGTTTGGTTGCTAATTGATTATTGTTTCCCTTAGATTACTGGTAGGTGGGAAAACTATATTTTTAGATTGCTTTAAGAAGATTTTCTCACTTCCAGAAATGCCTTACAATTGTTGGGGGTGATATAGAAAGAAGTGAATTCTGCTTTTGACTATCTGACAACTCACCCTATTTGAATGAGAAAAAAAGATATTAGAATTATTTTCTTGGAATGAGTCTTAATAGTAGAATCAATTTTACCTTTTAACTCTGTTGATGACCAAATTACCTTAAAATTTTATAGAGTGAAATGGAGAAAAACTAAACATCATCATTCTTCTTGAAGATTAGATTAGAAAGGTTTGGTTTTCAAACTAGAATGTTGTTCTGGCAAAACAAAATTAAAACAAAGAAGTGATCACCAAACACTTGAGTGCCCAGTAATGTTAAATGTTGTAGAAGCTACAAAATAAAACTTGATTCTTTTGTTTGTTTTTAATGGTACTGGGGATACATCCCAGAGATGCTCTATATTGAGTGAAATCCCCAGCCCTCTTTCATTCTTATTTTGATATAGGGGCTTACGAAGTTTTCCAGCCTGGCCTCAAACTGTTGGTAGTCCGCTTGCCTCAGCCTCCTGAGTAGCTGGGATTACAGGTGTGTGCCACCATGCCCAGCTAAGTCTTGATTCTTAAGGCAACACTATGGAATTGATGGAGTGGGACGTTAGGAATTCCTTTTTCTTGTTTAGAGTGATGTACAATTATTAAGTTTTCCCAGTGTATACAACTTAGTTTTCATTGCTATAGCTCTTTTATTTTAACATTTGATTTGGGGGATGACTTTATTCACATATAATTGATATGCCATAAAATTGATACATTTAAAGTATAAATTTCATGTTTTTTAGTATACCTATAGTTAGATATTACCACTGTTTAATTCCAGAACATTTTCATTACCCCTAAAAGAAACTCTACAGCCTTTAGCAGTTACTTTCCATTGTCCCCTCCCCTAGCCAACACAAATCTTTTTGTTTTTTAGATTTGCCCATTTAACTTCCTTTCATGAATCATGTTTTCAGGGTTCATCCATGTTGTGATATGTGTCAGTACTTCATTCCTTTTTGTTACTGAATAATATCCATTGTATGGATATGTCATGTTTAGTTTACTCATCAGCTGATAAGCATTTAAGTTTCTGTTTTTTCTCTCTTAGATCCTTTTATTCTCCATGTTTAATTTTTTAAAAGAATGTATTATTAAAGGAAAGTTTTAGGTTTACAGTAGATTGAGCAGGTAGTAGTTTCCCCCTATGCACACAGTATTAACATTTTTCAGTGGTATGGTAGTTTTGTACAATTAGTGAATTAATATTGATTTATTATCATTAGCTAAAGTTCACATTTTTTGTTTCCCTTTTTTTTTTTTTTTACCTTTTTTCTGATTGAGAATCCCATGCAGGATAGTACATTACATTTAGTAGTTATATAACTCTTGACTATGACAATTTCTTAAACTTCCCTTGTTTTAATTATCTTGACAGTTTTGAGGAATATTGGTCAGGTACACAAGATGCTCTTCTATCGGAATATTGGTCAGGTATACAAGATGCTCTCTAAAAACATTCTAGTGATGTTTTTTATTATGGTTAGACTAAGATTTGGAGAACAAAGACCAGAGTGCCATTTTCATCAAGTCATCTCATAGGTATGTAATATCAAAATGATCTAGGCAATTGATATTGGTTTTGATCAGTTTGTTGAAGTTGTATTTGTCAAGTTTCTCCACTGGGAAGGGTTACTTACTCTTTCCCCCCCCCCCTTTCATACTGTACCCTGGAAGTAAATCACAAGTAGTGGAGAATTATATTCCACCTCCTTATAGGCAGAATATCTACATAATTTATTTGGGATTCTTCTGCAAGGGAGCTTTCTCTTTCCCCCATTTATTAATTTACACAGTCATTTATTTTTATCAATATGGATACATTTATTTTGTACTTTCTTTTATAATCCAGTACTATTTTATTTTGTTGCCTAAATTGTCCCAGCTTTGGCTGCAGGGAGCTCTTTCAGTTGTCTCCAGTGCCTCTCTGACATACACCCATTAATGTGCGTTTTTGAGCACATATTTAACATCCTTTTATTTGTAAATAACCCAAATCCCCATAGAAGTTGACTTTAGGAAAACTAACAATACTCCCTTTCCCAGGTCATCTGATTCTTTTGCTAGTAGGGAAAAATGTACCTCTTACCAGAGGCTTGAGGAGAGAATCAGGTTGAATGAGACATCTGTGTTTGCCCTCCAAAAGCATAGATCACACAAATAGTCATTGGTAAATTTGGGATTCAGACACAAGTGTCTTAGGCACAACCCTTCTGTTATTTGTCCCCCTTTAAGCTGCATCTAACTAAAAAGCCTTAGAAGGGTTAAAACCTCCGCAGTACAGAATAAGGCTTAACAGTAAGGAAGATGTTTTCCAAATTCTGTCTGAAAAGTACTAGCTACTCTATTTTTAATCCTGAAGGTATGAAGCTACTTTTTGATTATATTTTGCCCTTATAGTTATCTTCTGATTTCTCTCTGAAAATTCACTGTCATTTTATAAACACTAATGTGATTATGTGATTCTATGAGATGCCACCTCACCTTTTCCCCCAAGTAGGTGGGTTTTAAATTATTTATGTATTGTGGCTTAGTATTTTATCATAAGAACCCTATTTGTATAGCAAAATGAAGCCAATCTAAAAGTCTTGTTAATTCCAAGGATTCTAGGTGAGTCAGTTAAATAGCTGTTGTCATTCCATTCCTGTTATTACAATAAATGCTTTGTGTGTCTAAAAAAGGTAGAAAGATCAAAAGAAGGAGAAAAAAAGAATGACATTTATGGGTAGAGATTCCCTTTGTTTGGGGGCCAATTTAATGCTATGAATCAATTAAATTGATCATAACCATTAAGAAAAAGAAGAAAATATCAGGGATCACTGTAGTGTAAGGTTTCTTTTTTTTTGTGAAACACATTCTAGGCATGCTTATTTGTAGGTGCAAGAAAATGGTATCAAATACATTTCTTACTGTAGCCAAATGTTCAAAGAAGTTGGAGAATCACTGCTGTAAGGAGGCAGGGGAATCCTCTATTTAGTCATCCTGCCTTCACTTCACCCTGAATTGCTACAATTTAGTGCTCTGATATATGAGTGTTTTTAAATTTTTTGTCAGGGAGAGCATATGGGAAACTTGTATGGAAGGTAGGAAGGACAATAGACTCCTTGGGCTGAATATTTAAAAATAATTCAGGCCACCATTCTGGATGATGACAAAATCCACCAATGAAAGTGGGTAATTAACCATCTAAGAAATATCCCTCTCCTCAAATAAATCCTTTTACTGATAATTCAACACCATATACATTTCAGTGCTCCACCCCACTGCCAAATTCTGTTTGCAGAAAGGTCCGAACGTCAAGGTAGTCGCTGAAGACCATATTTTCTTCAGTTTTATTTACACAGTTTTAAAGCATGTTCACAGAACCCAGGCAATGCCAGGGCTAGTGGGCTGGATAAACTCGAAAAGCCAAACATATGGCGGGTGGCTGTAAGGAGGAGGGGGCTGAGGGCTCTTCCCTTGAGTAATGTTTGCGCTGCAGACCCTCCTCATTGGACTGCGTCAGGGGAAGTGGCACCGCTCTGAGGTAGGGAAAGAAGGTTATAAAGGGGGGAGGGGGATCCGGCACTCAGGGTCTCAAAGAAGCTTTAATAAAAGGCAAAGTGCATCTTTGTCGAATGGTGTTGGAAAGAAAAAACAAAATCGAAGACTAAAAAGGTACTAGCGTTTCTGCTTCTTGAAACACTCATCTTAGGCAACACACTACAAGCCAGGTCACCGTCACCTTCCCTGCGTCTGCAATACCTGCCCTTCCATGAGCTTACCAAGAGCCAAGCGCAGTCGCTTCACACCGCAGCCCAGCTTCCGAAGGTCGGATGGAGAAGACGGTGAAATTGACGTCCTGGGAGAGGAGGAAGATGAAGACGAGGAGGAAGAGGAATACCAGGAGGTGGAGGGGAGCCCGAAACACCTAGAACGGCCGCACCAGCCCGGGCCTCAGGGGGCCTCTGCGATTCCAGTTCCCAGAGAGCGCACCGAGGGTGGCTACGGCCAGAGCGACTCCACGGAGTTTGTCAGCAAGTTCAGGGCTCAGACCAGGTCCGCGGCGGCCTCTGGGGATGCCCCGCAGCCGACCAAGCCCCCCTACTCGTACATCGCACTCATCACCATGGCCATCCTGCAGAGCCCGCACAAGCGTCTCACGCTCAGCGGTATCTGCGCCTTCATCAGCGGCCGCTTCCCCTACTACCGCCGCAAGTTCCCAGCCTGGCAAAACAGCATTCGTCACAACCTCTCGCTCAACGACTGCTTCGTCAAGATCCCCCGCGAGCCGGGCCATCCCGGCAAGGGCAACTACTGGAGCCTGGATCCCGCCTCCCAGGACATGTTTGACAACGGCAGTTTCCTTCGACGAAGGAAGCGTTTCAAGCGCCACCACCCGTCCCAAGGCGGTCACTTGTACCACCCTTTCCCACTGCCCACAGCGCCCGCCAACCTGCAGGGCCCCCACCCAGGCCTCCTGCTTGGGTCCCCGGTCCCGACGCAGCCTGTCCCGGGGGCCTATCCCACCACCACACCCGGGAGCGGCCAGTGTGCACTGCTGCACCCACATCCACTACGCTACCTGCTGCTCTCAGCTCCGGCCTACGCTGAAGCGCCCAGGAGTGCGGAACGCGCGGACTTGGCAATTCCCAGCACTCTCCAGTCGCTGCAGCCCTCAATGGGCTCACAGCCTTGGGAGGAGGGCAAGGGCCGGGTGTCCCTGCCTAGAGGCGGGCACACCTCCTTCAGCATTGAGAGTATTATGCAAGGAGTCAGCACTGAAGGAAGAAGGGCCACGCAGAGTCTGCCCCCGACTCCATGGGGCTACTGCCACCTACTCCAGCACCCGTCGTGCCTGTTGCACCCCCAGGGCCCTTTGCTGAACGTGTCCGCCGCTCGGACAATTTTACTACAGCAGCAGCAGCAGCAGCAGCAGCAGCAGCAGCAGCAGCACTGTGTCAGCAGCTGTGCTACCAGCAAAGGCAGGCTGTTGGGCCGGCACCTGTCCGCCGTCGCAGCGCTGCTAAGGTACCAGCCGGTAGCAGAGGGCTCTAGACCGACTTCGCTGGCCGCCTCTTCTGGTGGAGAGGGGACTTCACCAGCCTTTTGATTAGTAAGGACACCCTGCCTCCTGGCCAACCCCGCTGGGCGCACCTGGAGTCAGGTGTCAGAGCGGTACCATCCACTGTCCTGCTCCATCACCGCCTGAAGCTTCCACAGTTTTTCCGATTTGCATTTTTCCTGACGAACTATGAACAAGAATGGAATATTTTCGCTATGGTATTAAAAGAAAAACAAAGAAAGCAGAGTCTCCAATGCAGAGTTTCCCCTTCTTTACTCCCTAGGAACTGCAAGTATGCCCGAGAATAGTGCAGAATGCGAGAATAGTGCAGAACGCGTATGCTCTCTGTGTCCTCCTGAAATCCATATCTAATACAAAGGAATTTCAATTTCAGAACATTTATTTCTTATGTTTATTTGATGTGCCATATTCCATGGGAGAGTGTTAAAATGAAGCCTTGCTCTACAAATTAAATAAAATTCTAAATCCCAACACTTCATCGTTTATATTCTATCAATGTCTCATTATTTGGTTTCTAAATAAAACGTCATTTAAAACTTATATTCTTTCCCTGCAATTAAACAACTTATTTTTAGGATTCGTATTCATTTATGAATATAAGAAACAACGATGTTTAATTTTTTAAAACATTTTGAATATTCGAGGTTGAAAAAGCCTGCCTTTTAAAATGGGAGATTTGGTATTTATGAAATCTCTAGAAGAGAAAGAATACGAGGATATGTATTATCCAGTTGTTTTTCTTTTTAAAAAATGTGTTGACTTTCTTAAGCTGGACTATGCTTTGAGGTCAAATTGAAAAGTAGTGGACATTCATGCAGGGGAAAAGGATACACACATATCAAAGCACTAAGATTTTCAAAGCTTTTTCTTAAAACAACGAAAGCCTCTGAAAAGATTTGCAACCATTGCTGGGTTTCAGGTGAACAAGTGGCGGAAGGGAAAAAGGCAAGAATGATCATCAAGAAATACTGCGGGGGTGGGGGGGGTGATGAGAAGCAAATTTCTAGAGATAAGTCGTTTTGAACCCTTTCTGAGCAGGGTTCATGTTTCAAGAAAATTATATTCCAGGTGTTTTTGAAGAAAGTCATTCTGTGAATGTGCCCCTATTCACTCCCCAGAGTAGTTGTGAATTTCTCATTTCAAGAGGGAAGGGAAATGGACACACATTCTTACAGTCATTTAACTAACTGGCTGATTTTTAAACGTTGGCTTCGCATGTACATTCCATTATTTGGATCTTTGACACTACCTACCTGCGATCCCCACCTTCTCTAGGTTCGTGGGAAAGTTGGGAAAGTTCCCAAGCCCCACGCTTGGTAGTTTCCAATTTCTCACCCCTTTGCATAAGCAGTTTTCACCCGCACAGCACCATCGGTGTCCGAAAAATAGACCTCTTTTGGCAAATCTGGCAGGTCTCGGGAGTCTGGGAATTTGGAAACAAACCAAGCGTCGACGGGTCCTATTTCATTCCATATTCTCACCGGATCATAGTTCAATTTCCCTTTGTCCCTGTATTCCGTTAACAAACACAATCCCAAAGCCGGGAGCGCTGCGACAACACCAAGAGGGCCGCTGGCTGGCAAAGTGGATGGTCGCCTGGTGCTGCCGGTAGAAGAACCCATCAAGAACTCCGAAGGCTTGCTGAATCCTTGCCGCTGGCCGGCCCTAATGGAGGTGCTGCAGTCTCCTGGGCGCGGGCGACCGGTCGGAGGGAAAAAATGTGCAGAGCAGATGTCGCGCTCGGTTGGTGAACAGGCCTCTGCCAACCTCCTTCCGGACCGCGCACAGCTCTAGGTCACAGTTCTGGATGCTCGGCCCGGTTCTTGAGGTTTTCAAGGGTGACGTGTTGTTTTGGGGTAAAAACCTCGTCGCATTTTGCTAAGAGTTGAGGGTCAAAAAAGACCCTTGGACCCGACTTACTGAGGACAGGCTGAGGAGATGCACTGGGAGCTGCTCAGGAGAGTAGCCCAAGGGCTGGAGCGAAGAGCCACGGATTGAGCGGTGCAAAGGCTGGGCGAGGGCAGGAGGTAAACTTGGGGAAAAGGACTCATCCCCCTGTCCTATCCGTTAGTATATAAGAGCACGATTATTATTAATGGCTAACTGTCATTCCTCTGCTCCTTGTCAAGCAGGCTCTGGGTTTCCTTTAACCTTTCCAATACTCAGTGAGGAAGACCCTAGATTTCCTTCCTATCCCGCATTTTGCAGACTGACAAACTCAGAGAACTTAAGTCGCCTAAGGACCCTCAGCACTGGGACCTGTCTGCTTTCACTAAATCCACCCACACCCACGACCAGCTCCATTCTGAGCCTTCCGCAGGTCCCCAAAGCCAAAGACCCACGAAGGCCCCGGGTGCCACAATCTTTCTCCTAGCCTCTAGTCACTGTTCCCCATGCCAGAAAGAGCATTTCTCTCTTGTAGATTCGAGGAGCTAAAGGACTTGTGTTCTGTCAGTTCCCTAAGCTTGGCACCTGGGCTCTCTTCTGAGTCTTCAGAGGAAAGAGCCTCCCTGGAGCAGTGGGAAGGAAAGAGAATGTCTGGGGATCCTCAGGGGCTGGGATCTTCCAGGTTGGCAGAGGGCTGTGATCCAAGGTGCCTATCTGTGGCATCAGTGGTAACATTCCATGTTCCCTAATCCTTCTACATTGACTATCCAAAGTGACTAGTACCTGCTTATACACTGGAATGTAGCTAATGCTTCAGGAAACTCTTTGATCCCTAGACTGTGTCAGACACCCTTGCTCCTTTCATTTTGACTTGGATTCAACAATATACGGTAAAATCTAAAACAGCAGAAACTAGGAGAAAAATAAGGCATTAAAAACTAACAATGCCAGCAATGAGATCAAGCAAATGATCTTTTAAGATTCTGTGCCTTTTACCACATTTTATTGGAAGTGTGGGAGAATCATGGTTCTTATTCCCCCACTACTTTTGGGGAGAATGTTCACAAATGTCTTTCCATATTAACATCTGATTACAGTTTAAATAATAATCTTACTGTAACTGCTAATGTCAACTTCTTGTAATTTCTACAAAAGTAGTTTAGTCTTAATAGATTTTTTTCATATCAGCACTAAAATTACTTAAATGGGCTTTTAGAGCTCGTTGATTCAGTAGGCACTGCTGACTGCAAAGAACTGATACAGATGATAACTATTTGTGCCAAAATTGGTTCTCCCAGAAAAAAAGTAGATGTAGAAAAAGATAAAGGATTTGAGAATCTATTATGAAATTCAATTCAACCTCAGTTCCCTGTTGCTCAATTACCTTAACAGAGTCAAAGTTTAGCTGAATTCAACTTAATTTCTTATTTGTACTTACAATGGTGGAATGTTTATTAAATCAGTAATTAAGCATATTTGGAGACAGTTATGATTTAGCCAGTGAAGCAGTTTCTATTCTCAAATTGAGAAAACAATGAGGTTTAGGAAGCATAAGAAATTTCCTTTTCTTCAGATACTGTGATTTTACTATTTATTTCTGTGACTATATTCAAAGCCATATTTATGATTCACAGTTTCTAAAATTAAGGTGACCTATTTGTGATCAAGATAATTGTTGAATAAGATATATTCTACTATATTTCAAGCACTTTTTTCTTTAGTTTTTAAAATTCATTTTTTTAAAATGGAAAATTCCAAACATACCCAAAGATGGAAAAATAGTAAAATTAATTTTTATTATAATTTTATTGTATTATAATACATTACATTGTGTTTTAATTAACCTCATGGCTGGGCCAAACTTGTTTTATCTTTACCATCTAATGGTCCTCTTCCCACTAGATTATTTTGAGTTCATTTCTAGATATCGTTATCATTTCATCCATAAATATTTTTAAATATTTCCCTAAAAGATAAAAGTTTCATTAATTTAACCATACTGCCATTATTACACCTAAATATTTCTTTAATAGCATCAATTAATTTAATTTAATAGCATCAATATCCTCATTTGGCTCAAAAGAAATTTTTTAAGTTGCTTAGTTTGAATTAGAATGCAAGTAAGGATCACACGTTGTGTTTGGTTGCTATGGTTATCTATATCTCTTTTAGGTTTCCCAATTCTCTTTCTCCTTTCCTTGCATTTTTGTTTAAAAAAACTAGATTGTTTGTCCTGAAGAATTTAACATTCTGAAATTTCTGGCTACAGGTAATATTTTCATGGCAAGATATACACGGAGATAAGATTATTTATATGAACTTCTGGATATTAGAATATTTGCAAAGAGGCAAGCATGGGTCTAGGAAAGCTTATGTGAAATTATCCTAAATATGTATATAGTATTTCCAGATTATTACTTTTGGTGTGTTTATAGAAATACAAAATTATCAAATTTTCATTGAAAATTTTAAACCTAATTTTGCTTTTGTGAGACTAGAGAGCTCATACCTTTAAAATTTTAGTTCAAAGGCATTTTATGTTTCAAAATTTTAAGTTTTATAGTATTTTATATGTTAAGACATAAAAGCTGGGCTGGTGCTCTAGCTCAGTGGCAGAGCACTTGCCTAGCCTATGTGAAGCACTGGGTTCGATCTTTAGCATCACATAAAATTAAACAAATAAAGGCATTCTGTCCATCTACAACTACAAAAAATAAAAAAAAAATTAAAAAAAACCATAAAAGCTAAAATTTCATATTTCTATGAGGGTCAGGCACTGGGTAATAGCACAAATTCTGGGCTTCTAAAAAGAAAAATGATTTTAGGACAGCTTTAAATTAAAGAGAATCAGGATATGAAGGGAATTAGATTGGGAAGAAAAAAAGTTCACTTGAATGTAAGAAATAAGTTTAATAAAAATTAGAGGCAGCTAATTTTTTGGTTCCTTAATGCTTTAACAAGTATGTGTACAAAATAAAATTTTCATTTCCATTCTTCCATCATATATTGGATTTGAATGATTTAATTTGTCTTATTCTGCAATTATTTATAATTTCCGTGCCCACCACTATATGAAATCTTTGGGAAAGTAGAAGCCAAATCATATTCATCTTTATTTCTCAAACAATTCCTGACATCTTGTTAAAAATACACAGCCAAATTAATTTAATTCTCTCATATCTATTGGTAGCTGTATAAATGAGTGATGTCATATTTGCCTTTAAAATTTAAGTTTCAATGTTCTAAGTAATGTTCAAATTATTAACATTAATGTTTAAAAAGGATTCTTTACCTAGAGCAAGTAGATTTTAAGAAAAGGCTGTATCTTTTTATCTTGTAAAATGTAATTAATCCTTAACCACTTAATACCTATTTGGTAAGGAGCTGATTTTTATGCAATATTTTTTGGGTGTTTTTTTAAAATTTGCTTATCTTTTCTGTTTCACTACATTAAACAGTGTTTTGTCATATGTATCTCTATATAATACATATATATTTTAATATATAATACATTTAACATTCGATAGCTTTGAAGATTTAATCTAGAATAGATTTAAATCTTTTAAAACTAAACCTATTTCAGTAC